AAGGAGGAGGAAGACAGAAAAGAAGAGGAAGACAAAGGGAACAAAGTGGAGGGGGAAGACAAACAGAACAAAGCGGAGGGGGAGACAAAGAGAAGAAAGAAGAGGAGGAAGACGAGAACAAAGTGGAGGGAGAAGACGACGAGAACAAAGTGGAGGGGGAAGATAAAGAAAACAAAGTGGAGGAGGAAGACAAAGAGAACAAAGAGGAGGAGGAAGACAGAAAAGAAGAGGAAGACTAAGAGAACAAAGTGGAGGAGGAAGACAAAGAGAACAAAGAGGAGGAGGAAGACAAAGAGAACAAAGAGGAGGAAGACAAAGTGAACAAAAAGGAGGAGGAGGAAGACAGAAAAGAAGAGGAAGACAAAGAGGACAAAATGGAGGGGGAAGACAGACATAACAAAGCGGAGGGGGAGACAAAGAGAAGAAAGAGGAGGAGGAAGACGAGAACAAAGTGGAGGTAGAAGACGACGAGAACAAAGTGGAGGGGGAAGATAAAGAAAACAAAGTGGAGGAGGAAGACAAAGGGAACAAAGTGGGTGGGGAGACAAACAGAACAAAGCGGAGTGGGAGACAAACAGAAAAAAGACGAGGAGGAAAACGACGAGAACAAAGAGTAGGAGGAAGACAAAGAAGAGGAGGAAGATGACGAGAACAAAGTGGAGAGGGAAGATAAAGAAAAAACAGTGGAGGAGGAAGACAAGGAGAACAAAGAGGAGGAGGAAGACACAGAGGAGGAAGAAGACAAAGAGAACAGAGGAATAGAAAGAAAACAAAGTGGAGGGGGAAGACCAAAAGGAAAGGGAACAAAGAAAAAGAAGAAGACAAAGTGAACAAAAAGGAGAAGGAAGACAAAGAGAACAAAGTGGAGAGGGAAGACTAAGAAAACAAAGTGGAGGAGGAAGACAGAGAGAAAAAAAAGAGGATGAGGGAAGACAAAGAAAACAAAGAGGAGGAAGTCGACGACAAAGAGAAGAAAGAAAGAACGGACGACGACGACGACGATGAAAAGAACAAAAAAATTAAGACGACGACGATGAGAAGAACAAAGAAAAGAGACGACGACGAAAAGAACAAGGAGAACAAAGAAAAAGCGAAGAGCAAAGAAAATAACTCACTTTAAAAGAAAGGTTAGAAAGCTATTTTGACCAACTATTATTACTGAAGCGAGCTGAAATCTTGTGTTCCGTATTTGTTGTCCTTGTACCAGTCTAATCTAAGGTTAGAAGATATCATTAATAGAATGGTATTCAGTAGAACAAATATTAAGAAACTGGCGCGCAAGGTGGGACTGAATTCAGTAGACCCGCTAAACATCATTGTAATGGTCGACACACCTAGACAAGATATAAGCCGGCTCCACCCATCATGTCAGTAGGCAAAGTTAAAATAAAATAGCATTAATCAATATGCTGAGGGTGTGAACTGTTGGCAGGGATGATTAAACAAGGTGAGAACTTGAGCCGATCCCATGTTAAGATGGCGACCTCAAGGCACAAACGTTGGACTATTTGACGATTACCACTTTTCAACTAACCCTAAGCAAGACGGATTTACCTTTATTTTCCGTTTTCGCCACATACCTTTTTACCTCCGCTGAACGCCTGACCCCATCCCGGCGCTGACTACTGCCACGGACCACTGACCGCACGTGATAACTAAAGACGCCGGGACAGGAAAGAGTTTAGACTGTTTGGGAGTTTGGCAGCGCGAATGTTTGCAGTGGTGGGTGACTGGGTAGAAATGGTGCGTTGCAGCTTCCGTTTTATTTATTGCATTGCAAAGTCGATGATCGATGAAGATCGATGAAGGCCCAGAGTAAACGTTGGGGTCGGCTGGGTGGGTTGTCATCGAACTGTGGAAGACGAAGCGTAGAAATCTCGTTTTTAGTTGTTCCCGGCTCAGAGGTTTTATTATATTAGTACATGCTCGGATATATAAGCTCATCTTAGCCTAACAATGAGCCAAATGCTGATAGAAGTGGGAAATAAACGTAGGAAGAATGTGTTGCACGTACTGAGTAGAGGGGGATCCTGTCTTAAAAAAAATTAGCATGCACGCTCTAGTATTCAAAATACAAGTGCCGTCACCATTAAATTTATACGCACAAAATCATTTTACTCTCGTCACTACAACGGCATTTTTTTCTTTTTTTCTCCTCGTCAATACAACGGTATGTTTTTTTTCCCTCGTCCTTACAACGAAATCTTTTTATCCTTGAAACGAAATCCTTTCACTTTTATCCTAACATGGACTTCGTATTTGATATTGTAGCGAAGTAGTAATAGATCTTATTTAATATCTATCCGAGGTGGATTTTGTGATCTGTTGTATGGAAGAGATACACGCGTATTAACCGCTATTTTTTTTTACAAAGAATCACTCAATTCCAGGTCAAACTGTCACTCAATACAAGCCAAAGTGTCACTCAAAATAGAATGGTAATGAATGAGGATGAAGAACCGTATAGCGGGGAAAGAATTGACCCTCACTTCAAGTGCAAAGCATGCTGTTTTAAACTTCTTTCTGGGTGAGCCTAGCAGGAACCATTTCAGTAGTCAACCCCGATCAAGATTTACCGTACTAAGAAAGTCACTGTTCGTATTGTGCTGCACCAGAAAGCAACCACTACCTGCGAACTTATGGAGTTTGTCAGTTTTTTGGGAGGCCACTTTGCACAGAATTTTGTCAAGAGAATAAAATTATCAAGAAGCGCAATTTGGCTAAACTGATGGCTTTCATTTTTGTAATCGGAATTTTTTTGGTGTGTGAGATGGGTGGATTACATCGTCGATTTTATCTTTAGGAGATAACACGCAACTATCTTATACAAACAAAATGCAAAAAACCAATACCAAGCTGGCCAGAAAAAGTAAAGATAAATATGACAGTCCATCGCAGACGAGAGAGTATAGCGTTGTGCTAAATATGGAGTCATCAGTACGCAACTATCGTAATGAGTTGAAGCAAGAAAAAGTACATGTACAGTGTAAGAAAAATCTTAAAATTACAAGAATTTCAATATTTGTATCTGCCATAGACACATACGATGGAAATGATTTGGGGTAAAAAAAAAAGCATATGAGTTAAGATATAAACATAAAAAAGGAGATAATAAAGAGGAAGGGAAGAAAGGAAGAGAGGGAAGGCAAATAGGGAACAATGAGGGACAAAAGAAGGCGGTAAGCGAGAGAGAGGCAAATATGGGGATAATAAAGAGGAAAAGAAGAAGGCGTGTAAGTAAGAGGAAGGGCAATATGGGAATAATGAGGAAGGTAAGAAGGTACAGCAAGAGAGAGGCAAATATGGGGATAATAAAGAGGAAAGGAAGAAGGTGGTAAGTAAGAGGAAGGCAAATATGGGAATAATGAGGAAGGTAAGAAGGCGAAGAGAGAGAGAGGCAACATGGGGATAATAAAGAGGAAGGAAGAAGGTAATAAGAGGGAAGGCAAATAAATAATGAGGAAGGTAAGAAGGCGGTAAAGCGAGAGATAAACAATAATAAAGAGGAAGAAGAGAGGCAAATATGGGGAATAATGAGGGAAGGTAAGAAGGCGGTAAAGAGAGAAATATGGGATAATAAAGGGAAAGGAAGAAGGTAAGAAGAGGGAAGGCAAATATGGGGAATAATGAAGAAGGTAAGAAGGCGGTGCGAGAGAGAGGCAAATATGGGGATAATAAAGAGGAAAGGAAGAAGGCAAATAAGGAATAAGAGGAAGGTAAATATGGGGAATATTGAGGAAGGTAATGAGGCAGTAAGTAAGAGAGGAAAATATGGAATAATGGGAAGGCTAATAAAGAGGAGAAAACATGGAAGAAGGAAAAGGAAGAGTAAGAGGAAGGCAAATATGGGAATAATGAGGAAGGTAAGACATGGTAAGGAGAGAGAGGTAAATATGGGGATAATAAAGAGGAAAGGGAAGAAGGCGTAAGTAAGAGGAAGGCAAATATGGAATAATGAGGAAGGTAAGAAGGCGGTAAGCTTAGAGAGGCAAATATGGGGATAATAAAGAGGAAAGGAAGAAGGCGGTGGGTAAGAGGAAGGCAAATATGGGAATAATGAGGAAAGGTAGAAGGTAAGCGAGAGAGGGCAATATGGGGGATAATAAAGAGGAAAGGAAGGCGGTAAGTAAGAGGAAGTGCAAATATGGAACAATGAGGAAGGTAAGAAGGAATTAAGCTAGAGAGAGGCAAATATGGGGATAATAAAGAGGAAAAGGAAGAAGCAGTAAGTAAGAGGAAGGCAAATATGGGAATAATGAGGAAGGTAAGAAAAGGCCAATATGGTAAAAGGGAGAGAGAGGCAAATATGGGGATAATAAAGAGGAAAGGAAGAAGGCAATAAGTAAGAGGGAAGGCAAATGTGGGAATAATGAGGAAGGTAAGGAAAGGCGGTAAGCGAGAGAGGCAAATATGGGGATAATAAAAAGGAAAGGAAGAAGGCAGTAAGTAAGAGGAAGGAAGGCAAATATGGGAATAATGAGGAAGGTAAGAAGGCGGTAAGCTAGAGAGAGGAAATATGGGGATAATAAAGAGAAAAAGGAAGAAGGGGGTAAGAGGAAGAAGAAGGTAAATATGGGAATAATGAGGAAGGTGATGAAGGAAGTGGGTGTTAGAGAGATGCAAATATGGGATAATAAAGAGGAAAGGAAAGAAGGCAAAGTAAGGGGAAGGCAAATATGGGAATAATGAGGAAGGTAAAAAGGCGTAAGCGAGAGAGAGGCAAATATGGGGATAATAAAGAGGAAAGGAAGAAGGCGGGGGTAAGAGGAAGGCAAATATGGGAATAATGAGGAAGGTAAGAAGGCGGAAAGCCAGAGAGAGAGGCAAAATATGGGGATAATAAAGAGGAAAGTAAGAAGGCGGTAAGAGGAAGGCAAATGGGGAATAATGAGGAAGGTAAGAAGGAAGGTAAGCGAGAGAGGCAAATATGGGGATAAGAGGAAAGGAAGAAGAAGTAATGGGGAAGGCAAATATGGGAATAATGAGGTAAGAAGGCAAGCTTAGGAAGGCAAATGGGAATAATGAGGAAGGTAAGAAGGCGGTAGCGAAGAAGAAGGCAAATATGGGGTTAAAGGTAAAGAGGAAAAGGAAGAAGGCGGATAAGTAAGAAGGAAGGCAAATAGGAATAATGAGGAAGGTAAAAAGGCAAGCAAGAAAGAGGCAACATAGGGGATAAAAAGAGGAAAGGAAGAAGAGGAAGGGAAGGTAAAATATGGGAATAATGAGGAAGGTAAGAAGGGGTAATAAGAGAGAGGCAAATATGGGGATAATAAAGAGGAAAGTAAGAAGGAAGTAAGAAGAAAAATATGGGGAATAATGAGGAAGGTAAGAAGGCGTAAGCTAGAGAGGGGAAATAAATGGGGGATAATAAAGAGAAAGGAAGAAGGCGGCAGAGGAAGGCAAATGGGAATAATGAGGAAGGTAAGAAGGTGGTAAGGAGAGAGAGGCAAATATGGGGATAATAAAGAGGAAAGGAAGAAGGCCAAGTAAGAGGAAGGCAAAATGTGGGAATAATGAGGAAGGAAGAAGGGTAAAGGAGAGAGGCAAATATGGGGATAATAAAGAGGAAAAGGAAGAAGGCGGTAAAAAAGAAGGCAAATATGGGAATAATGAGGAAGGTAAAGGTGCAGAGAGAGGCAAATATGGGGATAATAAAGAGGAAAGGAAGAAGGATAGTAAGTAAGATGGAAGGCAAATATGGGAATAATGAGGAAGGTAAGAAGTGGGAAAGGAAAGGTAAGAGAGAGAGGGGAATAATGAATATGGGGGGATAATAAAGAGGAAAGGAAGAAGTGTAAGTAAGAGGAAGGAAAATATGGGAATAATGAGGAAGGAAAGAAGGCGGAAAGCGAGAGAGGCAACAATATGGGGGATAATAAAGAGAGTAAGGAAGAAGGTAAGAAGAAGAAAGGCAAATATGGGAATAATGAGGAAGGTAAGAAGGTAAGGAGAGAGGCAAATATGTCATAATAAAGAGGAAAGGAAGAATATGTAAGTAAGAGGAAGGCAAATATGGAATAATGAGGAAGGCGAAAAAGGCGGTGTTTGAGATAAATAATATGATAATAAAGAGGAAAGGAAGAGTTAGTAAGTAGAGGAAGGCAAATATAGAATAATAATGAGGAAGGCGAAGAAGGCGAAAAAGAGAGAGAGGCAAATATGGGGATAATAAAGAGGAAAGGAAGAGTTATGGTAAGTAAGAGGAAGGCAAATATGGAATAAGGGAAGAAGGTAAGCTTAGAGAGGCAAATATGGGGGGGATAAAAAGAGGAAAGGAAGAAGGTTGGTAAGAGGAAGGCATATATGGGAATAAAGGAAGGTAAGAAGGTAAGTAGAGAGAGGCAAATATGGGGATAATAAAGAGGAAAGGAAGAAGGTAGGCAAGAGGAAATATGGAAAATGGGAGGAAGGTGGGAATAATGAGGAAGGTAAAAGGGAAGAAGGTGAAAAGAGAGAAGGCAAATATGGGGATAATGAGGAGGAAAGGAAAGAGAGGGTAAGTAAAGAGGAAAAGGAAGGCAAATATGGAAGGCAAATATGGAAGGTAAGAAGGCGGTAAGGGAGAGAGGCCAAATATGGGGATAATAAAGAGGAAAAGGAAGAAGGCGGTGGTAAGAGAAGGCAAATAAGGGAATAATGAGGAAGGTAAGAAGGCGGTAAGTGAGAGAGAGGCAAATATGGGGATAATAAAGAGGAAAAAGGAAGAAGGGTAAGAGGAAGGAAAATATGGGAATAATGAGGAAGGTAAGAAGGGTAAGCGAGAGAGAGGCAAATGGGGGATAAGAAAGAGGAAAGGAAGAAGACGCAAGAGAGAGGAAGGCAAATATGGGAATAATGAGGAAGGTAAGAAGGCGGTAAGGTACATTAGAGAGAGGCAAAATGGGGATAATAAAGAGGAAAAAGAAGGCAGGTAAGTAAGAGGAAGGCAAATATGGAATAATGAGGAAGGTAAGAAGGCAAGTTTAGAGAGAGGCAAATATGGGGATAATAAAGATGAAAAAGGAAGAAGGGCGTGGTAAGTAAGAGGAAGGCAAATATGGGAATAATGAGAAGGTAAGAAGGCGGATAAGGGGATAATAATAAAGAGAGAGAGGCAAGATGAAGATAAATAAAGAGGAAAGGAAGAAGAGAGGGTAAGAAGAAGGCAAATATGGGAATAATGAGGAAGGTAAGAAGGTGGTAAGCTTAGAGAGAGGCAAATATGGGGATAATAAAGAGGAAAGGGAAGAAGGGGTAAGAAGAAGGCAAATATGGGAATAATGAGGAAGGTAAGAAGGTAAACCTAGAGAGAGGCAAATATGGGGATAATAAAGAGGAAAGGAAGAAGACGGTAAGAGAGAGGAAGGCAAATATGGGGAATAATGAGGAAGGTAAGAAGGAGAGGCAAATATAGGGATAAGCGAGTAAGAGAGGCAAATATGGGGGATAATAAAGAGGAAAGGGGGAAGAAAGAAAAGGATGAAGATGGTAAGAGGGGAAGGCAAATATGGGAATAATGAGGGAAGGTAAGAAGAAGGTAAGGAGAGAGAGGCAAATATGGGATAATAAAGAGGAAAGGAAGAAGATGTAAGTAAGAGGAAGGCAAATATGGGAATAATGAGGAAGGTAAGAAGGGGTAAAAGAGAGAGAGGTAAATATGGGGATAATAAAGAGGGAAAGAAATGAAGAAAATATGGAATAATGAAGGCAAGAGAGAGGAAGGCAAATGGGAATAATGAGGAAGAGGCAAGAAGGGAATAATAAAGAGGAAAGGAAGAGGGCAAATAAGAGGAAATAAAAGGGAAAAATGAGGAAGGTAATGTAAGAGAGAGAGAGGTAAATATGGGGAATAATGAAAAGAAGGTAAGAGGAAGGCAAGGGAATAATGAGGAAGGAAAGAAGGCTGTGTTGAGGAAGGGGGCAAATAGGGGAATAAAGAGGAAAGGAAGAAGAAGAGGAAGGCAAATATGGGAATAATGAGGAAGGTAAGAAGAAGCGAGAGAGGAAATATGGGGAAATAAAGAGGAAAGGAAGAAGGCGGTAAGTAAGAGGGAAGGCAAATATGGGAATAATGAGAAGGGGAAGAAGGCAAGTGAGAGAGGCAAAATGGGGGATAATAAAGGGAAAGAAGAAAAGAAGAGGAAGGAAATAAATAATGAGGAAGGTAAGAGGAAGGCAAATATGGGGATAATAATGAGGAAGGGAAGAAGGCGGTAAGAGGAAGGCAAATATGGGAGATAAGAAAGAGAGGGAGGCAAAGGGATAAAAGGAAAGGAAGGTAGTAAGAGGAAGGCAAATATGGGAATAATGAGGAAGGTAAGAAGGCGGTAAGCGAGAGAGAGGCAAATATGGGGATAATAAAGTGAAAGGAAGAAGGCGGTAAGTAAGAGGAAGGCAAATATGGGGAATAATGAGGAAGGTAAGAAGGTAAGCGAGAGAGAGGCAAATATGGGGATAATAAAGAGGAAAGGAAGAAGGTGGTAAGTAAAGGGGAAGGCAACATGGGAATAATGAGAAGGTAATAAGGGGTAGGAGAGAGAGGCAACATGGGGATAATAAAGAGGAAAAGAAGAAGAAGGTATGTAAGAGGGAAGGCAAAATATGGGAATAATGGAAGAAGGTAAGAAGGTGAGAGAGAGAGGCAAATAAAGGGGAAAGGAAGAATAAAGAAGAAAGGAAGAAGGTAAGAAGGAGGAAGGCAAATATGGGGATAATGAGGAAGGTAAGGTATAAGAGAGTGGCAAATAATGGGGATAAAGAAAGAGGAAAAGGAAGAAGGTAAGTAAGAAGAAGGCAAATATGGGAATAATGAGGAAGGGAATAATGAAGCTAGAGAGAGGAAATATGGGGATAATAAAGAGAAAGGAAGAAAAGAGGAAGGGGAATATGGGAATAATGAAAGGTAAGAAGGATTTGTAAGAGGGAGAGGCAAATATGGGGATAATGAGTAAAAGGAAGAAGGTGGTAAGAGAGAGAAGGCAAATATGGAATAATGAAGAAGGTAAGAAGCGAGAGAGAGGCAAATATGGGGATAATAAAGAGGAAAGGAAAGAAGGCTGCAAGAGGAAGGCAAATATGAAATAATGAGGAAGGTAAAAAGGTGTTTAGAGAGGGAAATAAGGGGATAATAAAGAGGAGAGGCAAAGAAGGGGTAAGTAAGAGAAGGCAAAAGGAAGAATGAGGAAGGTAAGTAAGAGAGAAGGGATAACAAATAAGGAAGAAGGCGGTAATAAGGGGAATAATGAGGAAGGTAAGAAGGAAGGTAAGCGAGAGAGAGGCAAATATGGGGATAATAAAGAGGAAAGGAAGAAGGTGGAGGAAGTAAAATATGGGAATAATGAGGAAGGTAAGGCAAAATAGAGAGAGGCAAACATGGGGATAAAAAGAATAATGAGGAAGGAAATATGGGAATAAGAGGAAGGTAAGAAGGAATTAGAGAGAGGCAAATATGGGGATAATAAAGAGGAAAGGAAGAAGGTAAGTAAGAGGAAGGCAAATATGGGAATAATGAGGAAGGTAAGAAGGAATTTGAGAGAGAGGCAAATATGGGGATAATAAAGAGGAAAGGAAGAAGGTAAGTAAGGGAAGGCAAATATGAATAATGAGAAGGGTGTCAAGGAGAGGCAAATATGGGGATAATAAAGAGGAAAGGAAGAAGGTAAGTAAGAGGAAGGCAAATATGGGAATAATGAGGAAGGAAAGAAGAAGAGAGAGGCAAATATTGAGAGAAAAGGAAGAAGGTAAGTAAGAGGGATAATGAATAAGGAATAATGAAGGAAGAAAGAAGGGAAGAGAGAGAGGCAAATATGTGGATAATAAAGAGAAAGGAAGAAGGAAGTAAGAAGAAGGCAATATGGAATAATGAGGAAGGTAAGAAGAATAAGCAAGAGGAAGGCAACATGGGGATAATAAAGAGAAAAGGAAGAAGGCGGTAAGAAGAGGAACAAGGGGAATAATGATGAAGGAAGAAGAAGAGAGGCAACATGGGGATAATAAAGAGGAAAGGAAGAAGGTAAAAGAGAGGAAGGCAAATATGGAATAATGAGGAAGGTAAGAAGGGTGTTTAGAAGAGGCAAACATGGGGATAATAAAGAGGAAAGGAAGAAGGCAGTAAGTAAGAGGGAAGGCAAATATGGGAATAATGAGGAAGGTAAGAAGGTGCATATTAGAGAGAGGTAAATAAGAGGATAATAAAGAGGAAAGGGGAAGAAGGCGGTAGAGAGAGAGGGGAAGGGGGAAATATGGGAATAATGAGGAAGGAAAGAAATAGCTGAAGATAAGAAGGCGTAAAGAGAGAGGCAAATATAGGGATAATAAAGAGGAAAGGAAGAAGGCGTAAGTAAGAAGAAGACAAATATGGGAATAATACATGGAAGTGAAAGAGGCCAATATGGATAATAGTTAGAGAGAGGCAAATATGGGGATAATAAAGGAGGAAAGGAAGAGAAGAAGAAGAAGACAAATATGGGAATAATGAGGAAGGTAAGAAGGGGGTAAGCTTAGAAAGAGGCAAATATGGGATAATAGGAAAGGAAGAAGGCGGTAAGAGAGGAAGGCAAATAATAATGAGGAAGGTAAGAAGGTGGTAAGGAGAGAGAGGCAAATATAGGGATAATAAAGAGGAAAAGGAAGAAGGTAAGAGAGGAAGGCAAATGTGGAATAATGAAAGGAAAGAGAGAGGCAACAGAGGGGATAATAAACAAAGAGGAAAGGATGAAGACTGCAAGAGAGGAAGGCAAATGGAATAATGAGGAAGGTAAGATGGTAAGTTTAGAGAGAGGCAAATATGGGATAATAAAGAGGGGAAGGAAGAATATGGTAAGAAGAGGGAAGGCAAATGGGGAATAATGAAAGACAAGAAGTGTAAGCTTAGAGGAAGGCCAATATGGGGATAATAAAGAGGAAAGGAAGAAGGTGGTAAAAGAGGGGAAAGGCAAATATGAGAATAATGAGGAAGGAAGAAGGCGGGGGCAAGAGGGAAAATATGGGGATAAAGAAGAGGAAAGAAGGTGGTGGTAAATAAGAAAGCAAAGTGGGAATAATGATGAAGGTAAGAAGGCGGTAAGCGAGAGAGAGGCAAATGGGGATAATAAAGAGGAAAGGAAGAAGGGTAAGAGGAAGGCAACATGGGAATAATGAGGAAAGAAGAATAAGTAAGCGAGAGAGAAGGCAACATGGGGATAATAAAAGAGGAAAGGGGAAGAAGGTGGTAAGTAAGAGGAAAGCAACATGGGGAATAATGAGGAAGGTAAGAAGGGTAAGCGAGAGAGAGGCAAATATGGGGATAATAAAAAGAAAGGAAGAAGGCGGTAAGTAAGAGGAAGGCAAATATGGGAATAATGAGGAAGGTAATACAGGTAAGGGAGAGAGAAGCAAATAAAGGGAAATAAAGAGGAAAGGAAGGCAACATGGAATAAAGAGGAAGGCAAATATGGAATAATGAGGAAGGTAAAGAAGGTGTTTAGAGAGAGCCAAATATGGGGATAATAAAGAGGAAAGGAAGAAGTGGAAAGTAAAGAGGAAGGGCAAATAAATAATGAGGAAGGTTAAGGTGGTAAGCTTAGAGAGGCAAATATGGGGATAATAAAGAGAAAGGGAAGAAGGTACGGGAGTAAGGGAAGGCAAATATGGGAATAATGAGGAAGGTAAGAAGGTGTTTAGTGAGAGGCAAATATGGGATAAAAAGGAAGAAGAAGGCGTAAGTAAGAAGGAAGGCAAATATGGGAATAATGAGGAAGGTAAGCGGTAGGCGGGAGGCTTAGAAAGAGGCAAATATGGGGATAATAAAAGAGGAAAAAGAAGAAGTAAAAGAGGGATAAAATATGGGAATAATGAGGAAGGTAAGAAGGCGGCTAGAGAGAGGCAAATATGGGGGATAATAAAGAGGAAAGGAAGAAGGTAAGTAAGAAGAAGGCAAATATGGGAATAATGAGGAAGGTAAGAAGGTAAG